CGATGTTCTTTTCATCAGCAGTTCTATTAAAATACGTGAAGAGCGAACGTTCTGCTTTGAAGACTTCCTGCTCGCCTCCAGTCTGACCTCTTTATGTTTAGTTTTTAATCATTGCTCTGTTGTTGCCGAGTAGTCAACTCTGAAAATGGGACGGCGGCATTCTCAGTGTGCAGATTAATTTGTCTGCTCAAGAGCTTATAAAATGAGTTTGCACAGATTTTAAGTTGTTTGAACTTCTCTGCTGGACCAGTTTCCCCTGTTAGTATTATTGAGTTTCTCCACATCTCTAAGGGTTTGCAGTCCTATATGTGGTAAATCTCTTCATTCTGTACATTTCCTTCTTGTAATTTAAAGCTCCTTTGGTTTGTACCATGGTCTCCTAAACCTGAGGCCACAGGTTTGAGCCTCGGTTGCATCAGGAAGAAACTATTGTCAAATGGTTCATGAGACGTCACTCGCTGTGGAGACCCCTGGAAAAAAAAATCATGTGCATCTAAACCAAAACATTTAAGTCAGCCCAGTTCAAGATGGCTGTCACAGCTAATCAACCTTAGCTTACACAAAAATGGCTACAACGCTGAGGATTTTACAACTATTGAGATAAAACTGGACGGATAGTGGCTGAGTGTAACATTTACTGGAATACCCAGAGACGACTGAGAGGTCAGACTCCAAGACTCGTATAAATTACAGCTCTTTATTTACAGTGAATTAAATAAAGTTCATCCAACAGGGAGGACCTGGGAACAAGGAGAGGTGTCAGGATGATGGAGATCAGAGGATGATCAGTGGTTCCAGTCCAAAGAAGAGCATGGAAGGTGACTTGAGGCAGTGGCTGGAAGGCAGTAGAACAGCTGAGGTACATCACAAAAGGTCTCAAAGATTCACAGGAGGGTCCTGGAATAGGTGGGTTGCAGGAAGCAGATACTGAAATACGAGGAGAACACAATATACTTTATTTGTAGTACTACACAAAGTGGCTGAGAGCACAAATACTGGTGGGCATGTAATGCTCCAGCAGGGAAGAGAGCTCCTCTGCAGCCGTTTATGCTCCTGGAGCTCCTCAAGGAATGATCCACAGCTGTAGCTTGTTGGAGCCATCTTGGAACTCAGGAAGCTGCAGAATAAAACTGCAACTACACTGAGAGTCATTCACAAAACATAATTCAAGGGAAATACTGCAATATCCTGAGAGACTGGGCTTATTATTACTTTAAAGGTTGAACCAAAACGACCACAGCTTCGTCATTTCTTCACATAAAATTATCCGAGTCTAAAACTCTGGCAGGAAAGGCAGCGGGGAATACGCATCCTTCCAGGAGTATCTATAAATTTAGTTTTTCTGTGGAAAACTCACTGGAGCTTGTGTTGAGCTCCATCTTTGCGGCAGATTTAAGCAGGTTTTCTCTGAACTACCTCCTTGGTTGATGCGTCAGTTGAATCGGGCCAGAGTTGGTCGTGTCCGCCCGTCCTGTGGAGCAGAGGGCCGGGCGGCAGAGAGGACGACAGGCAGCAGAGAGGCGGCAGATGTTTTGCAGGAACTGATGAGTGTGCGTTCACGTCCGTGAGGGATGTCATTATGTGGCGGACAGAACAACGTGTTGTTGATTAGTACCTTATTAATTCAAGGACACCAGCTCGCGGTGACACACATGGCTGCCGTCCCGGCTCATGACGGTCTGCCAGTCCTGTCTCGGATAACAGATAACCTCTCCTTCTAATGAACTACGTCTCTGTTCCTCCACTCCACGCTCGCCGATACTAAAAACTCCAGAAGAAAAGCTGCTTTTTGCCGTTTCAAGCAGGCGCCTAAAGGGGAGATTTCAGAGGTACAGTTTATTTCCCACAGAGCCCGTACTGTGCTGGGGTAAGTAAATAAAACTGCATCTACCTGAGGGCACCGGGAGGGGGTGTAGGAGCTGAGGGACACGGAGCCATGGTGAGTCGAGGACAATGTCCAATTTAGTATGTTTTGAATCTCATCTGAGCTTCGTGTTTTTCTCCGTTAGTCTCTGAACAGAGTCACACAACGTTGGAAACCCATTAATTCTCTAAATCTCTTCAGTTATTTCATTTCTCCTCCACCTTCTATCCCTCGTACGTTTCATCCAGCGCAGCTTGTCATGTTAGAAACGCCGTGTGTCTGCGTTTTGTGGCTTCTGGAGCGGTGGGAGCACCAAATGTGCTCAGGCTGTGAGAGCAGTAAAAACCATGGTCGGTGCTGCGCAGGTTCACAGATCCCTCCGATGGTTTTAGTCAAATGGAACGTTTCGCCAACAGCACGCCTGCCCTAAAGGAAACATGGCGGTTTCAGTGTGCAAGAGAACAAAAGCCAAGTTCTCCTTAGAGCTTCATCTGCAGAAGTGAAAGGTAGGGGATGATGTAATTACCTGTGTCTGCTTATTTTTGGTCTGTTAGCAAAATATCTCATGAACCACAGCACATGTAACTAATTAACTTTACAAGTTAACTCGATTCAAGATGGACGCAACAGTTAACTGACCTTAAAAATACACACAATCGGCTATCAACTCTATTTTACAGATATTAAAGTGAAATTTGATGTGACGGAGGCAGTCACCTCCAACACTCACTCTTTGCTGCATGTGAGGTCTTTATTTAAAACGCTAACCTTCTGTTGGGTGACGTCTCATTGGTCCATGGTCAGGAGACAAGACTGGAACTCAAAATTATTATAAAATTGCTTAAAAATGAGCAATATTTTGGATGAAGTCTCGGAGTGTTTTTCATTTAATGACCTCATATTTGGAAGGCTAGTTTTTAAATTTGGTTTATTTTTGAGATGCGTGGCTCGTATAATCAACTGCGCACGTGATTTTGATGCCCATCGTGCCACACTTCCCTTTGCTTGTGTTCCCCCCCCCCCCCCCCTGCAGTTAGACCCTTTTTTCAATAATTCTGTATCGGTGAGTGTTTAAAGCCTGAACGTTCGCGGCTGAAGCCTCAGACGTTCCGTGTCAGAGAACAACTCTAGATGTTCACACACTGAAACCAGCCTGAGAAGGGTTTGAGGTGCCCATGGCAACTCTGTAATTATTTTGAGAGACTGTCACACATTTTTTTTGAACATGTTCAAAATTAAAGTAACAAGACTGTGAGCCTCTGACTCATGCTAGGAATCTGAAAACGCCCCCCATGAGCGTTTCAAGGCATTTAGAAGAGTGTCGAGTTGTTGAGTGCCAGCCCACTGAGATACTGACCTCACAAAGGGCTACAGATGAATTTTTGATGCACAACATTTGGTGTGGTAGTAGCTGAGAGTCATCATGAGCACATTCTCTGAGCACTAATGGAACATCTTGCGAGGTTGTGTTCAGACTAAGTTCTGCTTCCTGCCACCCAGCTCAAACACTGTGCGACGGGTTCCAGTGCACATTTGACTGAAATGTATTCCTGTAATTGGCAATAACCTCGTCTATCTTTTTCATTTCCATGCAAAGTCATTTTACTTTTCTTTTTTTACATTTTGTTGAAGCAGCGCTCTCACGGGTTCTCCAGGCTTCCTACACATCTCTGACAGAAACCAGCCAAAAGCTCATTTTATAAACTGGTTAGTGTGACATTCTTTAAAAAAGGACTGGTGTGAAAAGAGTTTGTTGCGGTTTGGACTCAAACCTGTGAGCAGCGTGGCCCTCCTGTCATTCACGATAAAAATAAAAGTCTGTATGGAGGGAGACATGCCTTGTAGTGGTTTCCTTTCTCTCTGTTAGCTCTGCCTCTGGCTGATGGGGGGAGCTGACAAGATCGGGTGTCAGGTCCAGTTTAGACTTGAAGGCAGGACGCGTCACACTTTCTCTCCGGGCTGTCTCACTCCCAAGGTGAGTCATGCCTCGTCACCGCTCCTATAGAGACGTAAGCCATCACATTGTTCTGGTAGATGTCCAGCGCCTAATAGCCCTGTCGTGATTTGTCAGGGAAAATACTCGTCTGCTGAAGAGGGCAATCACTTACAGCAAGGTTGGAGTGTGGAGAGGAGAGGGAGCTTTTCAAACGTAAATCTGTGCTGTCTCAACGTGGCCGAGTCTCCGCTCAGCTGGGCTGATACACGTTTAAATCGATACTCGCAGCCTGCAACGAATGTGTGAAAACATCTTCCTGCATCGCTGTGGTCCTGAGACTAGTTGAACCCTCAGAAGGTCTCCTGGGAAAACAAACAGCCATGCATTCATTCATTCATGATGCTGTCTGTAAACATGATCATTTCTGACAAAGCTTATGAATCCGTCTAAAGAAATGTATTTTCCCGTGTCACGGAGCGACGTGCGGGAACTGTAAAATACACTCTGTTCCTCTGTCCATTTGTGCGTTGTTGTGATGATAACCTGAAAAATAAGCAACGTGCCGACTTCCATTTTGGTGTGTGGCTGCATCTAGGATCAAGAAAGGTCACGATCAAAAATTGGGTTGCCACGTAAAAATCCAAGATGGCCACCACCATATAAATGTGTAAACCAACCATCCCAAACATTTGATAAAACTGTTGTATAGTTTCCACAAATGACTGGGGTGTCTGAAGATGAACACGTGGTCAAGGCCACCAATGGTCAAAACCACAGACACTCCTGACTGAAGTCCCTCAGTGACGTGTCGCTCGTTTTGTCAGTTTCGATGCTCCTGTAAGCTTGCAGTTGGGGATGGTTTAATCCTTTTGTATCCATCACTGACTTGTGCTTTTCTTAGTGTCCTTTAGTCTTTATGGTGCAATGGTAACCAAGAATACCAACTGAGCAGGGTCAGACCTTCCAGCAGGTGTTTCTACTGCCATCACTTGGGACAAATCCACTGAGTCTACCTGCACCAAGAGGCCAGACCTCTGAGTTAGGACAATTCTTATAAAAGGGGGTGAATATTTACTGAAGGGTTCATTAAATCTGTCCAGTCGTTCATTAGATATGTTGCTAACAAAAACAAACATCCTCTGCCGGAGATAATTCTGCACAAATCAAGGATTGAGTGTTTGCTTGTCCTCTTCTCTCCAGAAGGAGTTCCTGACGGCGACGACTGAAAAGGACATCTTTGACCATCTGGGCCTGGAGTACATCGAGCCTTGGCAGAGGAATGCGTAGGCCCCCGTGCTGCACCCTGGATGGATGAGACCCTGTGCTGTGGGGACATCAGCGACTCTACCATCTGCTCGCGGTTCTGAAACTCTCCTGTGATTCAAACAAACTCTTTTGTGTTGCTGTTGCCAGTTTAGTTGTTGCTACAGTCGCCTCTGCCTCTTCCGTTGTAACGTGTGATTCATAACTCAGCTTGTTCACTATTGTCTGACGGAGAATAAATATTTCTCCTGCACCATTCTGGGTCCGCCTGTTTCTTACATGTCGTAATCAACGGCAGGACAAAAAAGTAAATCAGCTGCAGTGTACGAATCGCCTGCTGTGCCTGCAGAAAAAGAAGCAGAGGTAAGAGGGTGACTACTGAGAGATAAGGAAGGCGAGGGAGAAAACAGGAAGAGATGACAGAGGCGAGGGCGAAGGGAGGCTGTTCTGTTGAGCTAAACGTTGTAATCACCCTCCTCCTGGCAGGGAAGTGCTCGGCGTGAAGCTGAGCCAGGTCTCCAGGGGAAATGAGAAGCGGGTAATGAGCGTCGGATAGACGAGTGCTTCGCGTTGCATTTAGTCTCCATTTAAGCTCTGTGTCCACTGGAGATCATTTAACTGGAATTCCCCGATTCAAAGACCCAGAGTCTCTGCTCATTGTCCCACATTTCATGTCCTCCCCCAGATAGTTGGCTGAATTGGAGGTAATCAGCGGCTCCAGGGCCTCACGGAGAATTCAGATGGAAGGTAAATGAATCCAATAACAACACGAATGGATCCAAAGATTTCATTATTCTTTGACTTTCACTGTATTACGTTTGTTTTGTCAAAGTACTAGTTTATACAACAAAATGATCATTTTGAAGATGTAAATGTTCTATGTCATATAAGCTTCGCCCTTTAAGGCCTTCGCTTTAGTGGGTTTATCCCGTTATGCAGAGCATAAGCACTGAAAAAAATTAGTCCACGCCCACCTGCTGTGTGGGCCCTACCCGGTCCGTATAAATTACGTTAAGAGCGGGAAATCGGCTCCCATTTTTTCTTCAGCGAGCTAATATAGCACTGTCAGAAGAACAAAGAAGATAAGTTGTGTAAATGACCAACCTTGTGAAGGATGCTGGGCCCGGCAGTCGACCTCCGGTCGTCCGGTGAGTTCTCCTCCCCGAGGAGAAGATGACAGCAGTCTTATTCCAAGGTAAGCGTCGTGGAACATTTCCCAGTGACAGGTCACTACACGCTGGACAACGCCATCTTGTGTTTTTTCCTCTTATCGCCGACCCTCGGGGCGAACCGGATGGTTCCTCCGGGGCAAGGTGTGCTCAGCTGCAGCCCCCGCTGCTCATTCCCTCCCGGGGAGCGTAGTGTAGGTGGAGGGGGGCTGAGTGAATGCTCACCCCATCCCACCTCGTTTTCGCATCGGCGATCACACCGCTCCCGGCCGACAGCGCCCTCAGGGGTTGCCCGGCGGAACCCGGGAGGAGGCTGACATGAAGGGACCCCCTTTTTCTACGTCCCTCGCCTTTTCCCGCCAGTTCGGATGATCGGCGGAAAGGTTATTTTTCACTGACGTGTTTTTCCAGGCAGCCGCAGTTAGCAACAACGTGCGCTGCTAGCATATAGCATGTCCAAGGGACTGAAGGCCGCAGACCTGCCTTGGAGACAAAGAACTCCTTCTGTAAGGCAACTGACGCTATTCCTCGGTTCCCTCCCCTGGAGCCAAGCCTCGCGGAAGCTTCCGGAGCGAAGCTGTCCAGGTCGGAGCAGCGTCCCGTCCCTCCGGAGGAACCAGACGGCGACCAAAGCTCTCCAATCGAGCCCACCGACGTGTTTTCAGGCAACCGCAGTTAGCAACAACATGCGCTGCTAGCATTTAGCATGTCGAAAAGGCTGAGACCTCAGACCTGCCGGAGGAGACTAAGAGCTCCCTGTGTAGATCGGCAGACGCCATCCTCAACATGTGCGCCGCTCCCTCGGGTTGCCTGTCGAGGATTGTAGCATGGATGACGGTAATCCAACGTTCCATCTGGCTCCGTCACTCTCCATTGCTGCCGGAAAAGCTGCACAAAGACCGGATGGAGGGCCCCATCTCATCGGACGCGCTGTTCGGAAGCAGCTTGACGTCCATGCTGACGAATTCGAAGCAGTCGGAGGAGACGTCGGAAGCTGTACGCCATCTCATCTAGCCGCGCGGCTCATTCCGTCCTCCAGCCCGCTGGAGAGATCGTCAAAAGCAGAGGCAGAGACATCGACGCTCCACGGCAGCAGCAGCTTCGTCTCGCCCAGCTCCACCACCAGCCCCGCCCGCCAGAGACCACCCCTCCTCAGTCCGGCAGCCTGCACTTCAGCGTTTTCCCCAGAGATCGCCTGCAGACGGCGCTCGGAGCAAACAAACCGCAGAGCTCACGGGGGAGAAGTTTTAAGAAATGACGGTCTGCGGAGGATGTGTGTATAAATGACACAGGAATTGAATAAATGATTTTTCAAAGATCAAAACGCCTGTTTTTAGCCAGTCTGTAAGCTCGGATGAGCTCACAGCCGCTACACACACACCCTCCACTCATAAAGAGCCGGTGTCCTTAAATAAAGGTTTTTTTAAATCCACCGCCGCTCCCTCACATGCCCAGACGCTCACGTGACACCACGGTAAGCGAAATAACTTGTTGTCAATCAGGCCCGCACGATCACCTCCCAACGGTGTTTACGCGCTCCCGAGCGAGACAAGCAGCCTCCATCCAACGGCACTGTGTCGATGATGCACGCACAGCTGCCCGGCGCTCACCGGCCCACATCGGGATAAATGTGGGACCGCAGGCCGGGTCCGGTGGAGGTCCCTGCTCTCAGCGAAAACAACACACGCCTCTCCTGTATGAACGCGAGTGGCCGTCATCCACCGCGTCCCAGCGATCAGCAGCTCACGGCGGCATAAGCGTGAGACAGCTGAATGAATCCAATGACGGGCCCCGCCCTCAGCGAGAGCGGCGCGCGTCCCTCCAGAGGAAACGTGCGCTCCCGCGAGGCTCACAACCTTCACTTCATCAGCTGACACACGCCTCGCCTCAGCACACACCGCCCCGCCCGGACATGAAGGTTGGTCCGCGATCCAGTCACAGCGCGCGGGCGCGCGCAGAACAGCCCTTTCGAGAAAGCCTCGCCTTGGGTCACGCGGAAAACATTTCCGCGACGCATGACGGCGGTCGAGGCGGAGGTTTGGATGACATCCGTTCAAAACACGGCACATCATTTAAACGCACGTCCACTCCACGAACGTCACGCAGAGTGGTTAAAAACATGCTCACCGGACAGATGGAGGGACAGAGTGTTATGCAAGGGTTACACGCTGCAGTTTGCAACCCGACCCCCTCCGTTCGGAGGAGTTATAGAGACGGTCCTGTCATCACCAGACCAAGTCTCAGCCTTAAATGCAGAAATCCAAGAGCTTCTGATAAAAGGTGTAATCTCAAGAGTTCCCAACGAGGAGGAAAACACAGGGTTTTACTCAAGCTACTTCCTGGTCCCCGAAAGGACCGGAGGGATGAGACCGATTCTGGATCTGTCAGCTTTCATCAAAGCGATCATGAACAGATTTTTTCACATGTTGATGAACAGACAGCTGTTGGACAACATCCAGGAAAACGACTGGTTTGTCTCCATCGTTTTAAAAGATGCCTATTTTCACACACCAATCATCCCAAAACACAGAAAATTTCTGCGTTTCGCCTTTCAAGGGATGAAGTACCAGTACAACAGGTTGCCTTTTTTGGGTACTCCCTCGCGCCTCGTACGTTCTCAAGTGTGTGGAGACAGCCCTGCATCCACTGCACAAGCAGGGATGAGGGTTTTGTTTTTACCTGGACGACCTGCTGCCCCTGTCTCACTCCAGACAGGAAGCATTGATACAGGCTCAGGTGTTAGCATCACACCTGCTAAATCTGGTTTTCGCCATAACTGGAAGAAAAGCTCGATTTTCCCGGCCCAGATAATTGTTATCTGGGAGTGGAATTAAACTCAATTACCATGACGGCTCGTTTATCACAAACAAGAATCGACACTCTAAAAACCAATTACGCCACGTAAGACCTGGCAAAGTGGTAACAGCTGTCTCCGTCATGAAGCTGTTGGGAATGACGTCATCAGCTCACACAGTGGTCCCGCTGGGTTTGTTACACATGAGGCGCCTCCAGAGGTGGTTTACGCGTCTGCGTGTGGATCCAGTAAAACAAAAGAGACGGATGATCACTGTCCCTCCCTCCATGGGAGCAGACCTCCGACACTGGGGAAACACCCTGGCTCTGTCAGAGGGAGTCCCCGTCAGCAGATCCACGTCACGTGTCAGTCTTCACGGACGCGTCTCTGTCAGGTTGGGGTGGGGAACATGCCTATCTCAAGCAGTAGGGGCGCTGTGGCCCCACCGCACATCAGCCCACATCAATGTTTTGGAGTGTCGCACAGTGCTGAATGTGATTCAACTTTTTGCTCCCGTGCTACAGAATCAACACGTGTTGATTCACACAGACAACATGGTGACTGCTGCGTACATAAACCGCCAGGGGGGTGTGCGTTCAGCCCAGATGTTACACATTGCGCGGAAGCTACTGAGTTGGGTTCATCAAACCTGCTTTTATTAGAGCAGTTTACATATCCGATGTTCTGAACAGAGGGGCTGATGTGACGTCCAAGGGCGGCCCACGTTATGTGGACCGGATCCTCCATCCGGATCTGATGTTTTTCAGACGCAGCAGAAGTTGGCAAAGCAGCTGTGGACCTGTTTGCGATGCGAGAAGAACGCTCAATGTCAACTACGGTTTTCCCTGAGCCCGCGAGACGATCCATCGCTGGGGGGGGACGCATTTGCTCACAGTCGGTGGCCCAAAACGCTTTTTACGCGTTTCTTTCCCCCCCACCTCCTCTGTTTTTTACGGTCCATGAACCGAGTTCAAGAGGAGGGATTGACAGCCCTCCTTGGTGGCTCCCGGCGTGTGAACGCACTATGGTTCCCAGGCCTGCAACGTCTGTTGTTGGGTCGC